ACCTAATATTTTGGATAATTTGAATTTTTACTGATATCAAGTTTTAGATTCTGGGTGTAAAGGAAATGATAATAATAATAGAAGTAAACAATAAAAGTTCATGATAAGGAAAATTGATAGGTGGAGAAAGAAAGAATGAATAATAAAATAAAGAAATAAAACACAAATATACAGCATGAGGCTAAATCCTGCACAATAAAGGTTAATGGCTAGATCAAATAGGTCCTGTTGAATGACCACTGATGTTGTTGCAGAGGTGAAGGTTAAATAGGTTTAAAAATTAATAAGAAGGATGTTTAGTCATATGAGGTTGGCTGCATGTACAAAATTTCACTTCTCCACAAACATTTAAATTTTAGTCATATGGCACAAGGCTAACAAGACAATATAGAGACAACAACAATTATATAAAACAGCAACAAATATTTATATAGAAATCATACAAATTACCAAGACAAACTTGATCAGAATATTTAGCTGAGCTATGCTGAATTTTTAAGACCAATATTGTTAATTTAGCAAATTAAATTGCTTTAGAATGTTCCTTTAAGGGTGTGTGCGTAATACAAAATATACAATGAATAAAAGAAGAGTTATTCACCCTTAACTATTAGTTTAATAGTTTAAAAACTTTTTTTGAAAGGAATATTTATCTGGTTTCACAATGAAAAAGAATTTGTTTTTACAAGAAATGTTCTTTGTGAAATAGTTGAAAGTTTTGCGTGACAAGAATACTATGAAAATTTGTTTGGTAAAAAGGAACTTTAAATCGTCACTTAATATTTCAAGAAGTTTCTGTTTTATACTAAGATGAAGTATAGTTTTGTGCACTTCTGAAATAAATGTAATACAACTTTTGCCACTTGACAAAAATGTTCACCAAGAGGATAAATTCTGTTGAATAAAATTGAGTGAGAAAGTTTCTTTGAAGTAAATCCTGAAAATCTGTTTAGTATAAATTTGTAGCTTCAGAAAGCTTTTTAAGGTGTTTTCCTTGCTGGTGAAAAATTGGAAAAACTGGAAAATTCAAGTCAAATTTTTACTAGTGTAGAGGCATGAAGAGGAAAAAACCATTGTGGATGTTTGTCTATGGCTGCATGAATAACATGCCCACACAATTTATATTAAACGTAAAATATCACAAGTATGAAATACAAGAAGGAACAAAAGGTTTTAAAATAAACATAACATTGTATTTATTCGTGTATTGATGTACATGCATAGATGTTAAAGATCTGATGGAGTTAGGTCTCTTAGACTGGGAATATTTTTACTGGAGCTCATGAAGTTGGATTAATTATTAAACTGTAGTTTTAGAAGAATAAAGTTCTTGTTGCATGTTTGGAAATGTTCTGTATGTTTGTAATGTAGATTGGAACAATTCGTAAGAGTTCATACATACTTGAATGTGTGAAATATTATTTAGCGTCTGACCGCATGGTCAAGACAGTAATTCTCTGGTACTACATTTTGCAGCAAGAAGAGAAAAAAAAGAGAAAAAGGCAAACTCGCGTTTGCTATTTATAGATAATGTAATCACGTGACAGGATCAAAAGAACTTGGCGGGAAACTTGACTTAGTCACGCGCTGGTCAGGGTACCAAATGGGATGGTTGGTCGATTCTAACAGCATGAATATGTAACGGCTTCATGCCAGATGCAACTGGTTTGGCACCAGCTCTGTCATTCTCAGCTAGCTTCAAATGACTGGTTATCGAAGTAACTATCTTGATCTCAAGTCTAACCCACCAACATTGTGATTTTGATCTTAGGCTGATGAGATCAAATCAGACACCAGGGCTATTGTGCAAGGTGAGTCTAAACTGGAGGTGACATTGTACAAGCAAAAAGAAATAAATAAAAACCAGAAAGGTTTGGGTATGTTTAAAGAAAGCAAATCATCTTTTATCAGTCTGTTCTATACAGGAGTGTGTGTTCTTCCCAACCCATTTCTTCTGAGAGTGACACTTTTATACTTCTGGTCTTCTAAGTCAACTGGTTTAGCTTTTAAATGCTGGCTTAGCTTTGTTCATCAGTATAACTTGCTGTTTGTAGAAAGGCGAAATCAGAGGCATGAATCATGGAATCTCTCAGTCAGCTCTCTTGTAGCTCTCCCCAACTGCAAAATGTGAACTAGCAAACTGCCCAATCGCGCTCGCTTATATGGAACCAAAACCCAGTGTGGGGTTAGACACAACCTGGGGTTTTCAATGAATCCTCAATTTCCAACAAGAGTCCCTTTGTTGTCTGGCCAGGAAAATTAATTATTTCCTATTTCTGGGGGGAACCCTTTGTCTGTGAGGAGAGGTTGCAGGATAGCTATCCTCCTAAACTTCTCCTCCTCACATTGGTATCTCACACCAATTCCTTTTGGTGGGCATTAGTAACTTCTCCATCTCTCTTACAATTTTACCTCCACCTATCACCACTGCTACCACACAACCAATGGTGTCTTGGTTGTGCTGGTGTGACTAAGCTTGCTTCATTAATTAACTCTTTGACACCACTGCTTATTCAGGATTTCTTATCCTGTTCCCAGATCAGTTTAGAATCATCAACTGGAACTTTGTTTACCCAAATCATTTTGTACCCTGCCAAAATTCCTACAATTAACACATGGCCCTCTTGTCTGGCCATTTCCTCAGTCACATTACTTGTATACACAATATCTATGCACTCTCAAATGATATCTTCATTGATTCTGGTTATTTTGTGTTTTCTTTCTTAACCAGCACTTTTAATGACCATCATTAATCAACTGCCAGAGATTGCCACATTGCCTTTTCATGAAATTATAGTTATAGCACTTCTTCTGTTTCTTGAGAAAAATAGACTTTTTAAAAAAAAAATTTTCTTATGTTGATTGGTATATTCTTCGAGATATTTCTTAACCCTTCTTTTCTGTTTTAGGTATTTTCCCATTCAATTTTTTATGGCTAATTAGTTAATTAATTACCATAGCTAAATAGTGTCACAATTATACTTTTAATAATTTATCCCTATGATGCACAACCTTTGCCTCACCCTGTATATGTGAAGGAAGAAGTGAATAAGAAAGAGAGCAAGTGTTAAATCATAGGGATAAGAACATTCTCACAACATTTTATGATTTTGCTGTCAGAACAAAGATGTTGATTGGCTAAGATGAGCCAATCACCACTCTTATGAGAGAGCGTAAGATTCATTCCAATTTTGAGAAATAATCCTTTTCCTGCTGGGCACTATCAAGGAAATATGCCAAAGAACAAAGCTGAATATGATCTGATGCCCCAAAATGCTGCCTTTCATACAATACTGTAGGGTAGTTATAACTCTGAGTAAATAATTATAAACTCCTTAACATTTGTATATACAAAAATACTCATAAAAATGAAAAGAAGTAAGATGTGGAAACAGCAAAATCAGTATTATTTATTAACTGGGTTTTATGTGGTGTTGGAGACACTAGAGACAGTAACAGTGAGTAAAATTGTGAGTTTGGAGTCAAATATTGATCAGAATCTGACAGAATGATATGATAAAGAATAAGTAAAGTGTATACAGTTTTTCTTGTATGTTTTTTATAGATGTGTTTAATGAGTGCCCCGATAATTTAGTTGGAAAAATACAAGAAGTATCTGGGGTTTTGTTACCTTGAATTTTTATCAAATGCTAATAGATAAATGTTACTATTATGGCCCAAAAAAAAGAAAAGAAGATGAAATTTTTATTCACACATGTTAATGACTTGTCCATGTGAACTGCTTGTCTGATAGTGAGAATGTCATGTGTTTGTGTCTGTAGAGGAGAAAAGTGGGGTTGATTTGCATTTGTTTAGAATGAATGAATTAATAATAATTATAATTGTTATAATTATTTTATTATAATTATTTTTGACAATATAATTAATTTTCATTTATTTACCTTTTTATGGTCACAACAAAATGACAGTATAATTAATTTTTTATTTATGTATTTTTTTATATACATGACATATAAACAAAGAGTGTAACCAATCCAAGGGAAATCTAGCAATTCAAACTCTACAATCATTAAAAAGACACACTTTGAGTACACATATACAAATTATAAGTGTACATGTATTAATAAATGATTTCATTTTAAGCCAACTTTAGTGAGTGGGTTGTTATTTTATACAAATCTTTAAAAAAAGTAAAATGCCCTCCACAAGTTTCAAACCCTGATAAAAGTAAACATTTCAAGACAGGTTGGTACAATATAGTCTTCCTATCACCATTTTCTATGATTTGACCTTGAGCTGTACTAATTTAAACTTCTGTGTACTTAGCCAGTAAATTTTCTTTAAGGCAAATATTATTAAAAACAACAGACATTTTGCGTCAATTAATTTTAATGATTGACTTTTCCAAACTACAAATAATCCTTCTCAGATAAAGAAGAACTTCCATCAGAAATTGTTGAAAGTTCATTTTGAAAATGTAAATATTAATAGGTAAAAGTGTAATTTGTTTCTTTTTTTTTTTTTTGCATCAACACATCTAACACAAGATCATAACATCCAGTCCTGTGATTCTGTTTGAATCTGGAATTCCTAATGAGAACTAATCTTCCAATCTATTCTAACTTTAACAGGAAATCTTAACATTCATTCCTATAATCCTGTTAGACACTGATGTTTTGAGATGACAAGAATAAAAAGAACGGAAAACATTAATTGACTCCTAAAGGCTACAACAATTTGACCCTGGGAAAATATTACAATTGCCATTGTAAGAAATTCATGTTAATCTTTATTTGTTCCCTGTTTAGGTTCAGGTTTCTGGTTCCTTCTGAAATCTTTTCATTCTCTTTCACACCCAGTAACCCCTTGTGTCTTAGTTGTATTATTGCCTTGCATAGGGTGAATTGATTAAAAAGATTGTATATTACTACTATTTTAAATAAAATATATCCTTTTAAATAATTAACAAATGATGTCAGCTCATTTTCCACCACATTTCCACTATTGTATAAGGTAGACCAGCACAAAATATTGCAGGCTTATGACCATATCATGTTGAAAAACTGATTCCCATATGATCAACAAAGTTAAGCAATGCTGAGCCTGGTCAGTAGCTTGATGGATGACCACTTGGGAATATCAGGTGCTGTAAGCTTGGATGTGCAGTTAGTGTGATGGATAATGGCTCAGAATTGTTAATTGGAGAGCCAAGTTGCAACTTCAGTTGGGTTCATTACACACAAATACCCTTGGGAAATGTACAAATCAACCTCTTCTCACCCCAGCTATGAGTTAATTAGTAAAACTTGTATCACTAAATCATTAATATTTTAATATCTACTATGTTGCTCTACATTTCTAATCAATGTTTAAGAAATATTTAATTTAAAGGAGAATTTGTGAAAAATCACTTACCATTCTTCTTCTATGTGTTGAGTTTCTGCAGGATGTGTGCAATCATGGCTCTTCCTAATTTTCTGTTCTATGTATCTCTTAGTAAAGTTTGCATTTTTATTATCACTCTTAATACCTGTTCTGCCAACCATTTACACAAGCCCATTAGGTAAGTTATTCACTGCTTTCCTCTGTCCCTCTTACCTTCAGTATGTCCTGTGGGTGTCAAATTTTCTAAGCCTTCTTTCCTTGTTAAGTGCCCTAGAAATTCCAACTCTCACTTACTGATGCTAAGTATAAGTGTCCTTTTTGTTTCCATTTTCTTTTGTTGTTCCTCACATGTTTAGTCCATAGTATTCTCAACATCATTTCTGTAGAGCCAAATTTCTGTTGTTTCAAGACCCTTCTTCATCTGTGAAGAGATTGTCCAGCATTCACTGCTATATAGAAGGACTGATATTATGTAATTGTTCTGTACTCTTTTCTTTGTTTCTAACATAATCTTCCTGTTTCTTAATACTTTGTTTATAAATTTGCTATCCCAATGCACCTTTGGATTTCAGTGCCACACTTTCTGTCCTCTGTTAAAATATTTCCCAGATATTTAAATTATTGTACTTGTTTGATTTTGTTATTTTCAATTTGTAATTTACATGTTGGGCTGTTCCTTTTGCTAACAACCATGCATTCTGTATTCTTGCAATTGAGGTTTAGTTGTCACATTCCTTTACTACCTTCTGTAGTAGTTCCTGTATTTTTCTTTCTATGTCTGCTTGTTATGAATAATCAAGAGTGGTCTCCCCTTGTTTTGTTACTCTCCTGTTTGAGAGAGATATTTCTGTTTACTGGGACTATAAAAGGACAATATACCCAAATCTTGTATTCTCAAATGAATAAAGCTTTCTTAAAGCCTAAACCTGCATACTTTTGTCATTACACTGCTATCAACACTTTTTCATCTGTATTTCTTATGTTGCTAAGATTGTGGCTACCAACAATGAGCCCCTTGAATTTATGAATTGGAGGAAAGCACTTCAGACAATAATCATGAAGGAGAGTTTCTAAATTCTTTAGCCTCCACTCATCCAAAAAAGTCAAACTATGATCTCTTTCTGATTCTAAGTGTCCTTTCTGTTTCCATTTTTCTTAAAACTTTGTCATTGCTTGCATGTTCTGACCATGGTATTCTCAGTAGAATCCTTCTGTAGAACTACATTTCTGTTGCCTCAAGTCTCCTCTTCATCTCCAAAGAGACTGTCCAGCTTTCACAGCCTGATAGAAGGACCAATATTACATAACAGGCCAGCACTTTTTTCTTTGTTTCTAATGGAATCTTCCTATTTCATAATACTTTACTTAACTCTTATATAGCATCATTTGCTATTCCAATGTGCATCTGGTTTTCTATGTAGCATTTTCTGTTTGCTGTTAAACATTGTTAGATATTTAAATTTTTGTATTTGCTTGACTTTGGTGTTTCCAATTCATATTTCACATCTTGGGCTGTCCCTGTTGCTGCCAATCATTTTTATCTTCTTACAATTGATGTTTAGTCTTTTCTTCTTGCTTGTCATTTTTGTTTCCATAAGAAGTTGAAACATGAAACCAGTGAACCAAGTGCAAATACCAGTTGAGTTTGTTTCATCATCATTTTTGTATAAATACCCAAATTCACAAACCAACACTTTAATTCACTAGGCTATTGTCTCATAGGACAATTCTCTGTGGGGAACTTGGAGCTTTAAACCTAACCTACCTGTCTGTTTGTCATGCTCAACTGTACTTACTGAAGCTTTTCTCTTTTTTGTTTAAAAGTTACTTTTGTATACTTGAAGTAGGTTTTAGAATGTGAGAAATGAAATCAATAAATAAAGTAATAATAATGAATAATAAAAAAAATGAAAAAATACATTTTTCCCATGAAATGTAATAAAGGAAATAACTGGAAATATGATTATTCCACTTGGTTTTGTCAAATGCAGTTAGGTACTGGTTAAGTAAAAAGACAATCATTTTCCTTTCTATCTTTTTTTATCCCACTTGCTCCAAGATCTAGTAGCACATGGAAAAAAGGATGTCCCTGCTAGGCCATGTTTGTTTGCCTAGTCCACTGATGACTGAATTCTCTTTCCACTTTCCAATGCATGGTGTTCACACGTATCTTCCAACCTCCACCTATGAAGTAAACCAACCTTTTCTTTAGTTGTTCCAACTCAGTGCAAGGCTGACTTGAGCACAAGCATTATAACCATGCTTAAATCTCCAATAATGAAAGAAATATAAATTTTTCTCTGTGCAAGGTTAATTGTGCTTGACTATTATAACAATGTTTATACTTACTTAACTCCACGACCAAAAAGAAAACAGATATACCGATGAGACATTGAGAACTTTATTTCACTACAGTTTACATAAAAAAGAGACTAAATGATCTGTGGTAGAAACCAAAGTTTGTATGTTTCTACATTAATTGTAAGTACCACCACAGAAAATACAATACCTAAGGTTTAAAATGAATTTTTAAAAATGAAAAATCTTTCTTGAAGCTTTTATTTTAATTTCAATATTTCCAATAAGTAAAATACTTTGCTGTATTTCAAAACTAATTTAAATTGACTGAAAGGAGTTTTTTTGCTGAAATAGCTGATTAGCGCCCTTTTTTAGTCGTCTCTCATTGCAATGTAATTTTCTTTATTAAAAAATCTTCCAAAAATAAAGTATACTTTTCTGAAACTTTATTTGAGGAATAGCTGATTTAAAGTATAATTAATCTGATTTGAAACAAACATTATTTACTTTAAAATATTGCAGAAATGCATTTTTAACAGAGCAGTATCTTTTTATTTAAGCTGCTGACATGTTTGACAGCCTGATGATAAATAGATGTTATTCTAATGTTGTTCTATGAAGGCTTTAGTAATAAAAAATAATTGAGTTTAATATGAGCACCATTTATATATAATTTTTAAATATTAAGTAATCTTAAAAATTTACAAAAATATTCTCCATAATCTAATGCTTTATTGAATTTTAGATACTTTCTGGTTTTAAATTTACTATAGTTATTACCCTTATTTTCTGATAAGGTTGTGTATGGGTATCTTCAATTTTACTTTATAATAATATCTTTTAAAAGGGCAAAATTAATATAGAATTTTAGAATATTTAAAACTTAATAAATTATTCTAATTAAAATTTTTAAAAAAAATGAAAACAATTCTTATAAAATTTCATAATTCATCAAAAAATTAAGTAATCAAAAATACTTTTGTCTTCCCTCTTAATAATATAAACATTATGACGATAAAACTTTGTTTTTATCAAATGTGGAGCCTTTTTCATCATGGTATGCTTTTTTTAGTGAATTTTTGGAGGTACCTAATTAATTGTTTATATATAAACATGCACCCCACCAACATACAACCTGTAAATTTCATAGAGCCAAGTTCGAATTCCAGTTGAGTTTATTACATTCACTTTTGCATAAATGCCATTGGGAAAGGTACAAATCTATCTTCCTTCCTCCAGTTATGGGTTAAATAACAGGACTAACTGAGCTCTCTTGCCTTGAGGTAGCAACCAGTCTAAGAAAAGGAGAACCGAATTCAAGACCAACTTGAAGAGGGATGAGCATCATCAGGATATCTTACCCTAACTGTAGTACCCTTATGGGCTCATGGGTTGCAAGACTTACGATATTTACACTATTTACATGCAGTCTATTGTCCTCATTTTTGTTGTTATTACAATGTTTCTGTCATTGTAACCTCCAGCCTTCATTATGTGTATGTCAATTCAAGTAACCTAGAGAGAACTAAATCCCTTCATTTTGCTGTAGGTTAACCCAGCTCAACATGCACCTGATGAAAGCCCTTAGAACAGCTGAAATGTTATGATAACAACAACATAAATGAGGACAATAGTCAGCATGTAAATAGTTTAAATATGGTAACTGCTCATCCCAGAAATTCTAAGAACTAGATACAAGATCTGGATGAAGTAGCAAGTGGTTAAATGATATAGACACAATTGTAAGTTTATGAATCAAGTAGTTTATTAGAATTTTCTAATGAATATAACTCTGTTCTTTAAAACTTTAAACTTTCAGAAAAATTTATTATTCAAGTTGTTGTTTGAAAAAAAAAAGAAAAAAAGCAGAATTGATTCACATGCAATTTTAATGAATAATATTATTAAAAATTAAATTATTAAGTTAATTCATAAAGTTATTTCTCCAAACATTTGTGCATTCATTTTTTTAATCATTTCACCCAAAGCAAGACAATAGAGCCACTAGAAAGCAAGAGGTTACTGAATGTTAGAGAATATAAGAAAAATTACTATTCAGGAGAGAGGGCAATAAAAGAACCAAAAGACAGAAGGTAACGAGTGACATTGCATCTAAATTTTTGAAGATCAAAATTGACTGGGGAGAAAGAAGTTAGAAGAGAGTTCCACAAGTGAGAAGGGTGATAAACGAAAGTGTTAGCATAGAACTTACAGTTACATCTAGCCACTTCAACTGTAAAATGATGAGACCTTTCTGCCAATCTAGTACTGTACTTAAATTCATAAAGTCTAGGTACCATAGCAGAAAGTTCATCAGAACAGTTATCATGAAAGTATTTATAGAAAAGGTATAGAAAAGCTACATTATGGGGGTGGGAAAGTGACTGAAGCTGAGATGCCAGTTCAGGACTAATAACATTGCAGATTCTTCTTTGGATTTTATCAAGAATCTCTAAATATAATCAAATAT